AGTCAATCAGAGAAAGACATGTATCATATGATCTCTCTGATAGGAGGAATTCTTAATCTCAGGAAACAAACTGAGGTTTGCTAGAGTGGCGGGGGTTGGGAGGGGTGGGGTGGCTGGGTGATAGACATTGGGGAGGGTATGTGCTATGGTGAGTACTGTGAATTGTGTAAGACTGTTGAATCACAGACCTGTACCTCTGAAACAAATAATACATTATATGTTAAAAAAAAAAAAAAGAAGAAGATAGTAGGAAGGGAAAAATGAAGGGGGGGAAATCAGAGGAGGAGACGTACCATGACAGACTATGGACTCTGAGAAACAAACTGAGGGTTCTAGAGGGAAGGGGGGTGGGGAGATGGGTTAGCCTGGTGATGGGTATTAAAGAGGGCACATATTGAATGGAGCACTGGGTGTTATATGCAAACAATGAATCATGGAACACTACATCAAAAACTAATGATGTAATGTATGGTGATTAACATAATAAAATTAAAAAAAACTTTTAATTAAAAAAGAAAATTCAAAAAAATTTTTTAAAAAGTCTGAAATTCTGTTTTCAATGTTTTATATTCTCTTTTTTTAATCTTCAGAGGCCTGTACAGTATCAGAAGACATCATGAGAACACATAATATACAATTACGATGGTCTTCTGAGACAAAAATTTATTCTAAAACAAGGGATGTTATTGAATTTGAATGTATCTCTGGATATCGTCGAAAGAGCCCGCCGCATACATTCCGAGCCACCTGTTGGGAAGGGAAACTGATGTATCCTGAATGTTCGGCAAAATCGTGGTGAAGATGCAGTCCTAACATAAAAATATGTACATTTACTCAGAATTTTTCATTATCAATCCAATTCTCAGTTTATTTTGTCAAGTATTGTGTAACTCATTTACATTCATAAATCAGAAGTTGTATTAAATATTTTGTGGATGATGTAATTATAATCAGAGAGATGGATAAATCACTTCTTAAAAGCGCCTCATTAAAACTTGGCAAACCAAAATGCTTTGTGTCCTACTCATAAAGTATCTATGGCAAGAAATTAGATTCAATCACTCCAGTGCCTACTTCCAACCATCTTTCCCTCTAACTTTCTCATAGCTTCTTCCATAACTTCTGGGGCTGCCTGAGACTCTCCATTTCGGAGGAAATGGTTGAAAATGCTTTTCTCCATCTTTAATATAATTTTACTTCAAAAATACATAAAAATATAACTATGTCATACCTATGTTAGTAATAAGATGTAAGTAGTTATTATTAGCTTTTCCTTATCTACCAGATATAAGCTGTTATTATCTACTTGTGCTTATCTACCAAATGATGAAATGCAAGATCTTCTACAAGATGGCTATCTAGCACACATAAAAATTCAAACAAATCATAAAGAGAAATTAGAATCTAATTGGGTACATACCTAACTGTCATAATATAACATGAAAAGTGACCAAAAAAATCTGATATCAAGTATAAACACACACATGCACACACACATACACACAAATACATAGTATGCTTTGGACACGCATAAATGTGTATAGAACAAAGATTGTCTGGAAGTACAATAAAATATTTATAATAACTACAGTTGAATTTAGAGATGCTAGGGGTAAGAGTTGGTGGCTAAGTCCTTACGGCTCACCTGTATTTTCCATGTTTTCTATCTTTAATATGTATCAGCTTTGAACCACAGTAAAGGTGGTTATTTTAATGGGGTGCCTGGCAGGCTCATCCGGTGGAGTGTGCTCACGATCTCACGGTCGTGAGTACGAGCCCCACGTTGGGTGGAGAGATTACTTAAATATGGAAATAAATCTTTTTAAAAATAAAATAAAGATATATTAAAAGTAAGGCAATATATGTTGAGAATTATGGGGACCTCTTTGGTAATGATCTTCAAATCTAATGACATCTTCATGATTTGGTTTTGGAAACATTCAACCGCAAGTGTCTGAAATACGATTTTCATGTTCATACATTTCCAACAACATAATTAGTTAAAATCACTTGACTGTACACATTTTTAACTTCTACAAAAACATGAAAACTTCAAGATGAAAATAAAGATATAATTAAGGTAAATATATCTTAAGGTGATATCTTGTTACTTCATTTTGCATCAAATCAAGTGGTATTCTTAGAATGTGTAACCTGGCTGTGTATAATGGAGCCAGTTTATCTAAATCTGAATCACAAGTGACAGCCAGTTTTCTCATGTTTAAAGGACATTGTTACAATTGGCAAGTTATCTTTGCTATTAATATTGGTATATATACTATTTCTCCAAAACCTTTCACCTGATGCTTGTGGAATCTATTTAGGACACTTAACCTGTAATCAGTACAGCCTATAACTAATCGTTTTCATTGTTGCCTGCAAAATAGTGATTTTTAAGACAAATTCTATTCTTTTTCTGCACTTATTAATTGTCTTATGTAAAGGTGAGTGTTAATTTGCCAACTTCTTAGACTTTTACCTAAAAAGATTTGGGAAATCTTTATTTTTGCTCTTTAATTTCCAATTTTGGGAATAAGGACTTGATGATAGTGACCTGTGATGGCTTTAAAGGTTTTGTCTTTTTTTTTTTTTTAACATTCTATCAGCACAGATTCATGAATTTTTATTTATTCAATTTGTCACAAACAATTATAGTCATTATTCTTTGAAGCTCAAATTATCCCAAATTTGGCTAGTGAGTGCCTCTTGAAACTGGCTCCTGATTGCTTTGTAATACCCACTAGTTTCTGAGTGTTTCATTTCTTTTTAGCACAACACAATGTTCCAGGCTCGCTGTATACTTCCCTGACCAACACCCGTAATCATGCGGCTTTCCAAAAAAGTCTGATTCTCTTTATTGGGAAATAGTGTTTAGAATACAAGAACTGTGTTGTTGGTACTAGATGGGAATGTCATTAAATGTCTTTTTGCTTGTCAGAAATCTGAAATAGAAATGAAATTTAAAATTCATTGGCTCCTATTGGATCTTACAATTCAGAGTTATAAATAATACAGGGCTGAGAAACTTTTAAATACACTTTCTGTCTTTTCTCTTTATTCATATATTCTAATATTTCTTATATTTCAGAATTTTTAAAAATAATCTTAAGAGTATAATGTAAATGTTACTATTAGCAGTTAAACTGCTGAATGAAGTTTAAAATGTCTTTGCACTTATTTTGTCCCAGGATGTTTGACTGTGAGTGTAAGTACTCTCTTCAAAAATGACTTGAAATAATTCTTAACTCTGATTAATAGAGCTTTACACTTATTTGTGTTAGTATTTTTTTCTCAGTTTTAGATTTTGTTTCTTCCTCTTTCAAGCTAAACTTAAAAATATGAAAAACACCTACATTTTTGAGAAGATTTTATTTATTTATTTCAGGGAGAGAGAGAAAGGGGGGATGACCAGAGGGAGAGAAAGAAAAACTCAAGCAGACTCCTCCCAGCAGAGCAGATCCCAGTGTGGGACTCAATATCACCACCCTGAGATCATGATCTGAGCTGAAAGCCAAGAGTCAGACACTTAACCAACTGAGGCACCCAGGTGGTCCAAACACCTACAGGCTTCAAAAGTCAAAGTAATATGAGAAGTATGCCGAGTAGTCTTACTTCCATCATATCTGTTCCCTCATTTAATAAAGTTATATTTTTCTTAGTTTCTGACATCCTTCCAGTGTTCACTAATCGCCTTTTTTCACAGAGAAGGGAGATTATTTTACACATTTATCTATAATGTGTTTTCGTATTTATTTATTATTTAAATTTTAGTATCTATTTCCAATATTCCCGTGATAACCTTCCTCAGCAACCTGGGCAGAGCCTGCCTCAGTAGCTGTGCCGCAATCGACTTAGTCAACAACACAGTCTGGCGTCACCCCCCACCCACCCACCCACCCACCCACACACACACACCCCGGAAGTGTTGCTGGGTAGGGGCCCAAAGGGAGAAGGTTCTGTGGCATTGTCCTCCTCTGGGCTCCTCTGACTTCGGCCTTGTGGCTGGGATGCTTCAGAAGAAAAGTCTGGTGGGTCAGAAGTGTAGGAGGAACCCAAATTGGGGGCGGGGGGTGGGGAGCTAGGTGGGATTAGGACCCCCCTCCAAGAATGGTGGTGGTGGGCAGACACTGTGGAAGGCCTCATCTTTGGACAGTCAATGTGGAATTTTTCTTTGTGTAACTGTGTCATCCAATCAAACAACTGGGATTTTTTTTTTTTTTTTTTTTTGGTGGATGGACTCTCTGCCCTTAACTTTTCATATGCAAGATTTAATTTAGTAGGGGCCCGAACCCCAGGTGTGCACAGCAGCCCCTCTCAGGGAAACCCAATCTCTCACCCCTGTCGGAGACTTTTTAAATATATCACTGGAATTCTGCAAAGCACTGTGTAACGTATCACCTACATTACCTCAATGCTTCCTAAGGGAAACCCTATGAGGTAGGTGTTACATCCGTATCTTTCAGAGAAGGCAGGAGTTTCAGGAATAAGCCGTTGGCCCATGATCACATTGCTAGGGAAAAGCCAAACCATAATTTGAACCCAATCTGTCTCACAGATACTTTTTTTATAAGCAAGGTTATTTCATTAGTTTTGGAAGCAACCTCCCCTCCCCAGATAACGGCTGAACTCAAAAAGCAATAACGCTTTGAAAAGTTTACCTAAAAGTGGCCAAAAATATTCTTAAATAGCTTTGAAGATCATTTGTAGTTTTCTCCTCATAACATGCGGGGCAAACCTGGGACAAGGGTGGATTCTCTGTTATTGTTATCATTTCACGTAATCCTGAGACCTCTAGCGTACAATAAAATGTAAAGACTTTAATAAACAAAAGCCCTTAAAATAATTCGAGAGGCCTGCAAAACTAATAGAACACAAGAGTTCAATTAATTTTGTGGAGCTGAACTAAACTGAATGGCACAGAGGCTGACACAGTACCGACCGAACGCAACCTAACACCGACCGAGTGGACACTAACCAAGTCAAGGTTGCCACTACCGGGTCAATAGACACCTGCAGGCGCCAGGAGCTCGCGCAGGCGCAGAGCCGGGCCGAGGGAGGGCGACGGAGCGGGAATCCGCCCCGCCTTCCCCAGGCCCCGCCCGGCCTGCTTCAGTTCCCGGCCTTGCCACTAGGGGCGGCCGCGGTCCCCGCAGCGCCTGCCGCCGCGAAGCCGAGCGGCCCCGGTTTCCAGCCGGGCCCCTTTTGCAGCTGGGCCCCAGCGTGGCTGCCCCCATGGCTGCGGGTCGGGAAGCCTCCGCGTTCTCGTTTCCCTGACAGCCCCGGCTTCTGTGCTCTCCTTCCCCTCCCCAGGCCACTCCAGCAGAGATGTTTGCCAAGGCCTTTCGGGTCAAGTCCAACACGGCCATCAAGGGGTCGGACAGGTGAGGGAGAGAAGGGGCGTGCGGCGCCCGCCAGGGCACCCAGACATTTCCCAGTGCAGGCTGGCCCACAGCCTCTCTGAGTGAGCTAGGTCAGCCGACCTGGGGTGGAGGCCGAGGGAATGTCCGGCCGGGGAGCGGGGGTGGGTTAGACACATTTTGAGGGCGAGGAGGGAGAACAGGCCTGGTTTGTCTCCCACGCTATCTTTTGGATATTCTAGTTAGTTTAAAGGAAAACGTAATTCAGTCAGCGCTTACGGACTGCGGTCTACATAAGGGGTTGAGGGTTCAAACACGAAGGATTACAGGTTCCCCGCCCTCCAGAGAGCCTCGAGTCCCTTAGGAAAAATCAGAGGGGCACCGCGAACTACAACTACAGGAGAAAAGGGATGCGATTACTTCTCGCAGGAGGGACAGATGGAAGGTGAAGTGGGAGAGAATTCAGGGCCATGTTTTAAGAACTGTATCTGTATACAGTGTTGCAGATGCTGATACCACGTTGCGAATTTTGGAACCAGTGTTCTCTAGTCACTCTTGGTGCCCTCGTATAGCTTTTTAACCGTACACTGACAGATTTGCCAGGCAGATGTGAGGAAAGGGGTGGGTCCAAGGGCTAGGCATGGAGTCTGGAAGGTAGGGCTGAGTTTCTAGTCGGGCTAACTTGGTTACTCACTGGTTCTCAGTTTTCCTCTTTCTTTGTAAAATGGAAAGACTTGCCCCCAGGAATATGTGAAACTAGATGAGACATTGGATGAGAAAGAGAATAGGATGTTTTGGAAGAGTGTATGAGACTAGGGCATCATAAACCAGCTTTTCCTTGGTCCTTGTGATTTTATAGTAAGTCCTTCGGAGTCCTTCGTATTTATTAAAATCCGTCCAGGCAGGATTCATGCCAGGTATTGGTTTGCTTTCTGCAGGAGAAAGCTTCGGGCTGATGTGACCACTGCTTTCCCCACTCTTGGAACAGATCAGGTCTCTGCCTTAGTACCTGGAAAGGAAGAGCTCAACACTGTGAAGTTGTATGCTCACAGAGGGGATGCAGTGACTGTGTATGTGTGTGGTGGTAACCCCATCCTATTTGAACTGGAGAAAAATCTATATCCAACAGGTATGTCAATAGGATGGAGATGGGCGTTACTATTATCCTTGCCTAACATCTGTTTCTCCTTCTTTCTTTCCTTAAACTGCCTTACTTAAAACGTGAAGTGCAGAATCTCCCAATATCATCCCTGAGGATCTTTTTGGACCCAGTGTCCCTAGAATTGGGTCTTTCAAGATCAAAAACTGCTACAGGAGGGAGAATAACAGGGCCAACACAGGAAGAGGGTAGTTGGGGGGGGGGGATGTTCTGGGAGGAAGGAATAATAGTTCATAGTGGGTTAAGTAGGGATGGAGCTTAAGTAGGTTAAGTAGGTCTTGAAAAGGGTGGGATTTCAGGACATGTAAAAAATATTCTTAAAACTTCACTAGCAGGATTTTCTTAAGAAACTGACGAGATACGGTGATAGGAAGGAAGCTAGGTTAATTAAACTACATACCCGGCTGTCTTAGTGATGTACTTCAATCGCTGTATCTCACAGGATTCTTTCTGAGGCTCTCCCTGGCTCTCAGGATCCTTTGCTTTCTCTCTTTGTCACAGATCTCAGACATTCAGTGTCCTTTTCTCTTTTCCGTAGCTGCTGACGCCTACTTTGTCACTTGGGGCTCTTGTTCCCCAAGCTTGGCTGCAGCGGTGCAACGCGGTCTCCTTAGGTTACCTGTGCCCCCACTCCACTTTGCGGCTGTACCAACATAGGCCCTTTTTGATCTCAGGTTTTACTGCTAATCACTGTGAACACAGAGGGAATAAAAATAATAAACATGGGGAAGTTTCAACATTTCCTACAGGCAGGCGCCCTGTTCTTCGCTTCCTTGCTTCTGAGGTCACAGATGGAATCCTTGCTGGGGGGTCTGTCCCCGCTTTTATCTACCGTGCCCATTGCTGCTGCCGCATCCAGGTGGGATCACAGGGGCCTCCCAGTCTCAAGTGACAATCCAGTTTTTTAAGTATCTGCCTGCTTTAAGAAGGAAACCTCTTTGGGCCTCACAGCCTCCACTCTAGCTTTGAGTTGAGTTTCTTTTCTGTTTCTTAATTTAAGTGACCTTAGTGTTTGGCTTTGCCAGTTCCCTAGGGGATTGACCTTTTGGCAATAAGTCTCTCTGTGTCTCTTTTTGGGCAGTATACACCTTGTGGTCCTATCCTGACCTTCTCCCAACGTTCACAACATGGCCTCTGGTGCTCGAAAAACTGGTCGGGGGAGCAGGTAAGAGGATTTTCCTATATTCTGGCTATTGGCCGAAACCTACTTAGTAAGGGCCAACTACTTTAATAAATGCACCCATTTCCTGTGTTCATACAATTGAAAAATGGAATTTTTCCCCCATGTGGTTTTCCTCCCTCACTTGGCTGCTTCCATAAGGTCCCTGGGCCGCTAGGGCCCTGTTGAAAGCCTTCAATAAGCTTCGTACTTTGTACTTAAATCAGAAAATGCTTTGTGAATCACATGCTATACTTTAAATCAATAAGCTAAATTTTGGAAAGCAGAATGAGAGATCATGGAGCCTGACTCTCAGCTTGGTGCCTCAGTTTAACCACTAGCCCCCCCAAGGGAAAAGGCCTGACGCTCAGGTTGCATTTCTTAATTTTCATTATGAATAACCTAGTTGATAATAAGTGTTTGTTGGTTGAGTGAATGCATAAATGATGAAGTAAAACTTGGAATAGGTTAGAGGCAGAATGTGGGTTGTGATGCTTTTGTCTTGTTTGGTGCCCATTTGATGCTGCCAGCCCTAGTGGTGCCCCCTGCTGGTCTGCCGCAGGTACAGAAGGGGGACCTCTGTGCCATTGCCTTGGTTGGGAACAGGTACTGTGCCTGTCCACTGTGCCTTTGGGGGGAAAACTTAGGTAAAACTGGGGAAGGGGGTGGGAAAGGACAACATCCAAAGCTTATGGATAAAGATTAAAAGAAAAAAACGGATTCTTCTTCCAAAAGCACAGAGTGGGCCATGGGTAAATGGCAGTGAGCCTGTATGGGTGATTGCCAGGAGTTGGGGGCTGAGAGAAATAGGGAGAGTTTAGTCAAAGGATACAAACTTTCAGTTATAGGATAAATACAGTTGGAAGATCTAATGGATAACAAGGTGATTATAATTGGTAACACTATATTTTGTAACTGAAATTTGTTAAGAGAGTAGAATTTACGTGTTCTCCCACTGACCCCCGGCCAAATAAGAGCACAAAAAACAAAAAGAATAAACTTTGGAGAAGACAGCATATGTCTTTCTCACTCACTATTTTAAAGTTACTTCCTAACACAATGTGATAGTGAATAGTGAATATTCAACAAATGTTTGTTAAATAGATAAATGAATATTTATGCCTGATAGTTCTGTTTTGATCTCACAATAAAGCAATATGCTATTCCTTGTTTGTTCTGTTTATAAAAATTACTGTTGTCTACTAAACACAAACATGCACACTTATGTAATCTCAAACACACACACACACACACACACACACCCTGAACTTTGGGAAAAAGTAAGTCACATACAATCACTTATTATTTTTGTTCTTGTTGCAGGTCCTGCTGAGATAATTTACAAAATTATCTTTATGCCAAAAGATAGTTGTTTAGGGAAATCCAGGGGGCCCACAGCAAGAAAATAACTAGCCTCTTTACTTAGGAAAAGGAAAAATATACAGGCAATATAATCCATAACTAAATGATTGACAATTTCAGGACTGGAATGGTTCATTCGGACTAACTGAACTGTTTCTCTAGCTACTTCTGACTGTTAGAGCTGCAGGCTTTAAAGAATGGTTCACCTGCAGATGCTCATAGAGGTCTATCAGAATACATTTAGGTTCTGTATAAACTATATAGAGTAAGGAAAACATTCAAAGAATTTTGAAAAGCAATACATTTAGCCCATTAATAAAACTGGAATAATATTATAACCACACCAGGTAAAGAAATATTTTAAAATGAGAAAAGTGCTGCCTGTAGTTAGAAGGAGCCCAAGAAATAGTTTAATTCCTTCCATTTCCAAAGGTGGATTTATTCTTATAATTATACTGATAGTTTTAATTTTGCTTCAAAATGTATGTAACATATTTGACACTTAATATTACACAGTAATATAAGACAGTATGTGTATGTTTGTGTTACTAAGAATATTTTCACATTTTATATCTCTCCCACTTTGTTTCAGCCAACTCAGTCAAAGCAATAAACATTTTTTAGTGTTTACTGTCTGTCAACAATCTGGTTCCAGGGACATAATGATGAATATAAAACACAGTCCTTTTCCTCAAAGAGCATAGAGTATATGTGAAGGGGTCAGGGAATTATATAGGAAAACAAATAATATAATAAAAATATATTATTTCTTTAAATTGGTTTTGTACTTAATATTCTAGCATGATTATTATCTGATGCTATTATTTTCTATAATATCATTTCAATGAATACATTATTTACTGTTGTTAACATATAATTAGCATGACCAATCCCCGATCCTAGAACATTTATGTCTTTCTACTTTGGATTTAGGCTATAATGTTGCAATTAAAAGAAAGACATTTATCTCAGTATTTTTATATCTCTCTGGACCTCAGAAACCATATCAGGTTAAGGAATATTGAATTTATTTTTGTATACTAATTAGTTAATGGAGTGGTATAGTCAAAGCTGGAAGTTGAGGAATTAAATTATTTAGAAGGGTATAAAGCAATATTAGAGCATAAGAAGTGGTAACTAATTTGATAATAGAGGTCATCAAGACAAAGGACATCAGATATGATGAGTTTGGCCCTACAAGACTAGTTCACTTAAAAATATTATTGAAAGGCTATTAGGCATTTGTATTACAAAAGGGAAGAAGTCACCATCCCTACCTGTTATCGACTGAATGTGTCCCCCAAATTCATATATTGAAGCCCTAACCTCTAATGTGACTGTATTTGGGGACAGGTCCTTTATAAAAGCAATTAGGGTTAGATGAGATCATGAAGGTTGGTGTCCTCATGATGGGATTAGTGCCCTTGTTCAGAAGAGGCACCAGAGAGCTCTTTCTCTCTCTCTCTCTCCCTCTGCTCACATAGAAGAGGTCATGTGAACACACAGCAAGATGGAGGCAACCTATACCAGCCAGGAAGAGAAATCTTTTCAGAAACTGACCAGGTTGACATCCTGACCTAAACTTCTGGTTTCTAGAATACTGAAAACAAATGCCTATTGTTGAAGCCACTGTCTGTGGTATTTTGTTATGGTGGCATCAGTGACTAATAATCTACCCTTGGGAAACAAACCAATAAACACAGTCTTAAGTGAATAGGACTCATGCTAGGAGACATACACACCTAGCATACTATCACAGCATATCAGAGGAAAATTTAGCTGATGTCGTGAATTCAGGGAAAGCATATGTTCTGTAGAATATTATACCAAAATCTCAAAAGGTGAATAAGAATCAACCAGGAGCAAAAGTTAGGAAGGAATATTTCATCAGAAGAAATAGCATAAGCAGGAATACTCACAGCAAAACCACACTGGTTGGTACTTGTAATGGGCAGAATTCTAAGATGACCTCTCTAAGATTTTCACTTTATTCTCTTGATTCCAGAAAGAAATGTAAATATGATGAGATATCACTGCTATGATTAGGTTATTAATCAATTGACTTTGAGTTCACCTGGGCATGTCTGACTAACCAGAGAATCCCTTAGCAGGATCCAGGGCCTTCCTGAAGAAAGAGAGATTGAAGTGTGAGAGGGCCTGGGGAGGAGGTCCCAGGGAAGGGAGCTAAGAAAAGCCTGAAAGAGCTTAGAGCCGTCCCTGGCCAAGAGCCAGCAAGAGAGTGGAGACCTCAGTCCTACCACTGCAAGAAACCGAATATTGGCAGCAACTCTGTGAGCCTGAAAAGGACACTGACCTGCAGAAAAAAATGCATAGCCCAACCAACACCTCGATTTCAATCTTGTGACAAGTTGAGCAGAGCACCCAGATTCCTGACACATAGAAAGTCAGTCTCTGCTGTTTTAAAGAACTGACTTCGGTAATTTGTTAGGTAGCAGTAGAAGCTACTACCTTAGTAGAAACCATAAAATATGAAACTAAAAGAAGCTAGATATAGGAGAGGTAGATAGGATTTCATGAATCTTCTGAAGTTCTTTAAGGAGACTTGGACTTCCTTATGCGGATAGTGGAGATATCTCTGAGTGATTACAAGCAAGGGTGTGGGGGGTCAGATTTCATTTGTGCAAGGTTGCTCTGTCTGCAGTTTAGAGGATAGAAATGTGGGAGTTACCACTCCCATGTAGAAGGCAGCCCTCACCTGGCAAATATGTGAGGAGAGCCTGGGGAGAGCCGAAGTGGTCAGAGTGAAGTGAATGCATTAAACAAAACTAACAGGTGAAATGACAGGCATGGGTATTATATGGATGTTGAAGATAAAGGAACAAAAAAATGTCTAGAATGATTCTGAGATGTCTACTATATGTGTCCAGGTAAATGGTGAGCTACAGCCTTTACTGGAAACACAAGGAGGTGTAGATTTGACTTGGTGGATGGGACAAAATGATGAATTAAATTTTAAAATACTGTACTTGGGGTGTCTACAGAAGAAAATGTGAAGAATAAGTGATGTCCCAAATCTGTTGTTCCTTTTTGCTTGAACTGTAATTAAAAACCTTCTTCTTGGAAGAAATTAGCATTTCTGATAAAATGTTCAAGCAATTTCAAGATAAACTTTTAATGGTATTCAGAATGATTCTGGGAAATGAATCCCCCTCCCACCCAGTTGTCAATCAAAGAGTCTAATGATCCAAGTGTTTTTTTCCTGTTTTAATTTTGTATGGATATTCTATGACTCTCCCCCACCCACCCCTTTAGATGTCTCTCACAAGCATAAATCTTAACTTGCCTGCTTCAGGAATCAGCCCTTGTATCAAGATTAAAATAATACTTGCATATATGGTCCTATCCCAATATTTTGAAAATTTTATTTTAGACAATGATCTGGCTGGTAAGAAGTTAGTTATATCAGTCTCCATACTGTGGGAAAGATTAGACGATGAGATAGAGCTAGTGGAGCTCAGGAAGGAGACAGAAATGGGACAGTCAAAAAGCTGAGAACCAGAAAAACACGAGAACCTTGCTGTGTGAAAACAAAGATGAAATTTAACTATTGTATTTTGTAACAGTTATAATGGTAAATTATAACATATATTAAATATACCATATTTAGGGGTGCCTGGGTGGCTCAGTCAGTTAAGCATCTGCCTTCGGCTCAGGTCATGATCCCAGGGTCCTGGGATCGAGCCCCACATCAAGCTCCCTCTCTCTCTCTCTCTCCCAATTTCTCTCAAATAAATAAAATCTTTAAAAATATATATATAATATTTATACAAAAATTATAATTTGAATAATGCTTGAAAAACTGCCTTTGCAAATACCCTTTATAGAAAACTTTTAAAAGCTAGAATTGGGCTCCCAATCCAGCCAAATTAAAAAAAGAATTGAAAGAGAGAAAAGAAGGAATGACTATCTAAAAATTAATTTGCTGGTGAATAGAATCCCCCAAAAAGAACTGGCTGAAGGCACTATGGGGCTGATAACACTCGAATATGACCTGGAATCAGTTTGGCCACAAGTACTTTCACTTCAGTTAAAATCAGGCGACATGGGAGAATGTGTTGTTTACTTCACCAAAATTAAAGCTGCCCAATGAGACATTAAATCACCAGGAGATTCTAATCACAAAATCCAATCATTTCTGATTTTGCTGGTTATCAACTTTGGTGAATATTAATTTATTAAGAAAGTCTCAAACCAGAGTCCTGCCTGACTCCTGAGAAGGAAGTAGCTCCACAGCAGACCCTGAGGCTGCCCCATCCCATAAAATCAGACACGACCACTCATGAATGAAGTATCAGTAATTGTGTGAAAAAGGCTTTGTGCTCATCCATCCACCTATTCGTTTACATGTCCATTCATGTATACATTAATTGCTTGCCTTCTATGCCTTTACTTTGCTCGGTGCTGAGGATACATGGTAAACTAACCAGACAGAATCCCTGCCCTCATGAAGCTTACATTTTATCAGGGGATATGGATATTAAACAAATACTATAAAATTAACATTTCTAGGGGGCGGAGCAAGATGGCGGAGGAGTAGGAGACCTAGATTTCATCTGGTGTCAGGAATTCAACTGAATAGGGATCAAACCATTCTGAACACCTACGAACTCAACAGGAGATTGAAGAGGAGAGTAGCAACAACTCTCTGAACAGAAAAGCGACCACTTACTGGAAGGTAGGATGTGCGGAGAAGTGAATCCGAGGCGATATTCGGGAGGATAGGCGGCGGGGGAGGGGGCCTCTGTCGGCCGCTTCTGGCAAGTGCTAGAGCCGCGGAGCACAAAATCAGAACTTTTAGAGTCGGCTC